AATCCAACCGTACAACTGTCTTGCAATCGTACACGTGTCTTGCATCTGATCGTACACGTAATACCTTTTTTTTCCTATCTAACCATACACTTGTCTCCTCCATATTCCTTTATCATTTTGGCATTAAAATAGGGAGAAAATTAATATAAAATTTGTACAAAATACAACCCTTAAGTATTCCTCCACTATCTTGCCATTCTACATCGTATAAAGTACTTTTTGGAGTTTTGACTCACCTGGGACCATTGGGATATGTTCTAGTACTATTTTCTCACCTCAAATAAAACCACATGGCATTATATAACATGCGCAAAGAGAGAGTGATACTCTTCCCTTCTTCTTTGGTTAAAATAATTAAAATAATTAATAATATTTATTTCGGAGTGATCTTGACCAAATTCTTTTTACCGGTCCACAACTCTGAGAATCTATCTTCGGGAACCAATACTATTTATTCATGACGGGGAATTCCTCTAATTTTTTTAACTCCAAAGTCAACCTCTAGACCTTTGACTTTGACTTTTTTCCGGATAGTGTAAAATAGGCTTTAAATTCTATTAAAGCTAACCTCTTCGCTTTTTGAGGACGGAATTATTTTTAAAACCTATGATAATTCCTCAAGTATTTTTTTCCTATTTTCTTCCAATTATCTGAGGCCTCCCTATACTTTAAATAATTCATTTTCAATAATATTCAAAATCAGTCAAAACCCTGGGAATTCCACAAATTCCTTCCAGGGCCATTTCCGTCATTTTTATACAGGCCTCTGAACCTTATTCCTATTTTTATAAAAATTTTCTGAAGTGTTTGGATCTTAACCTACCATTTCTCATTTTCTAGGATTTTCGGGCACAATTTTCATTTTTGCCCTTACCAGCCCAAAACTTTACAAAATTACAATTTTGCCTCTAGTTTGGCTTAACCTCAAAATTCACCTTATTGAGGCCTCCAACATAATCTTTGGCCTACATTCATCTCTATTTCTCATTCTTGGGCCCCGAGACTTCATCCAAGTCTCTAACTTCCTCTTTTCTCAGTCCTAGAAAACTTTTCCTCTGCAATTCAGTCCCTGGGAATCCCTCGGTCATTTTAGGGAATCTCTAAAACCTTTGCCAAAAAGAATCTAGTAGCCTACCCGTTTTAGGCTAATTCTGGTACTTCTAGGCCTAAAATTTAGGATGTGACACTCTGGTCCATCCTTAGCCACTGTGAGAGAGGGTGAGAGGAGGGGGAAGAAGGAAGTCTTATTTGGTCTCATCTGGGTAAGCCATTTTCATCCTACTTTTTCTATTTAGCTTCTTTTTTTTCCTTTAATTTTTGCAAGTTTATGGCAGAAAATGAAATTTGTTAGGGCCTGATAGATTTTTAATCTTTGAGGCTTCTAACTTACTTTTATGATATTAATAGAGTTTATGGGGTCAGAATAGGAGTTTTATGACCTAGATTTTTATTTAGATGGTTGATTTGAGGAAATGTAAGTTAGGGTTTGATCGGAAAATTGTGATTTGTGATAATGGTGATATTAATTTCAAAATTGATCTCTTAGTTTAGTTCATTAGAGGTTATATTGAAAATTCGATGCTTGAGCTTTGAGGATTTTGCTGGAATAAGAATGTTGATGATTTTTGGAGAAACTTTAACTAGTGGAAGTTGGAGGTTTTGGATGAATTGGGAAAATAATTGCCATTCAATGATCCTAATGAGTGAGAGATGATTAATGGTAGAAGAAAATAAGATTTGTAATGATGATTTGAGGAATGGTTAAAGCATGGCCATTTTTAGTATTAAAGTAAGCACTTTTTGGGAATTTTTGGATTACTAGAAGGAGTTATCCCTATTAATAATTTTAATAAGTGAAATAGAGCTAAGAAGTTTTAGGAATTGTTATGAGCAAGGATGATTGGTAGGATAGATGAATTATTATTATTTTTTTCCTAAAGAATTTTTTTTAGTGAGCCAATTATGGGGATTTAACTAGTGAACTATTTAATATTTTATCAATTAGTTTTTTATTAATATATGTTATAAATTCATTACTGTAGAGTGAGCTTGGTTTGGGCTCTTGGGTCTTGAATCTTCCTATTTTAGTTCTTGTGTCAAGAACTTAAGGTAACCACTTTCTAATTTATCTTGTATGCTTGTTGATATGATTATAAGCATGTGTTGATATTATAAGTGTTATTATAATATGTTATAGTGTTTTATGTATAAAAAGTGTAGAATAAAAATATTAAATTTATGTTTTGATAAATTTGTTAGTTAAGTAGGCATGAATTATTTTATCTTGAGATTATATTATTGATGTTGAACAAAATTGAGTATTGAATATGGAAATAATTTTTGGATATTGAATTGTGTGAAATTGAACTATTGAAATGCTCATGGAACTCTATCGGGTTGTGATGGAGTATGATTGTGGGAGGTTTGGTTATTTCATACCACATGGTATAGCCGCCACTTAGGGCCCCATGGCTAGCTTTAACATTCTTAGGGCCCTCGGTATCACCCTACCTTTAGCTGGGTCAAAGGTAAGGCCAAGGGACATGACACCTTTATGTATTCCAAGGAAATAGAACCCACGGTCTGATATGAGCTCTGTAACTTTTAGCCAAGTTATATCTCATTATTGGAGAGCTTGTGCAATCTTTTTAAAGAGATGAATCCTATTATGTGTGAATAGCCCATGGGTTCTGTCAAAAGTTACAAAGAGGTTATAAGGATGGTTGATGAAGTTCTGTGCATGCAAGTTACTTTTTGAATTATTATATACTATTTTCTATAAAGATGTTTACACTATGTGTTATTCAAAATTGTACTTTGCCAACTTAACTGTCTTGTAATCACTCCATGTATACTTGTTAAATTGGAATTGTCGTTACTGGGTCAAATTAACTCACCTCGTGGTTATTTAACATTTTTTTCAGGCGTGATTTCATGTGTTAGTCCTAAGGAAAAGTTGTCTGAGGTTTGAGTTTCCCTTTTCTGCTCTGTATAGCCTTTTTTTTTGGTTATATATGCCTTGATTGATGTATATTGCCAAACTTTAGGCCTTTTTGTTATACTTAACATATTTTGAATTTCCCACCGCATTTTGGACTTATGCTATTGGGCGGAGCCCTTTTGGATATATGTGACTTTTATTTTGGTTGCGATAGTTATAGGTGATAGTGGTGATTATTTTGGTGGACTTCAAATGCCCTAACCCATTCATGACTAGTTTTAGTTGTATTTTTGGGATCCTAGAGTTTTATGATGGATTTGATATATATATATATACACACGTAAAAAAAAATCAAGTGTTGATTATCTCTTGTTATGCTAACTATCTTTGCTACTATGCGATTGTGGTTGTTGCTTTGTTATGGATACGAACTGTTAATAATCATAGTAGACTTCTATTGAATTAGTTTTGTTCTTCCTACCATAGTTGACTTTTCAAGTGATTAGCAAGGTCTTTTATATAACTATGTTAGTTTTCAATAATATGATTTATTCTCTCTACCATAGTTATTACTTAACTTTTTTTTGTTAACTCTTTTCTGTTTTATTGATCTTTAAAGAATTAACTATTATTTTGAAAATAAGCAAATGTACAAGTGTTACGGGGGTTGTTACAAACTTGGTATTTAGAGCCTCGCGTTTTGTGATTCTTTAGTTTTATTTTCATTATGGCATATAGTTGCATTGGCAATATACATTAATCATACATGTGCTTCCCTTTTATTATTAGACTTCTTTTTAAGTTTTTTAAGGCTTATTGTGCATCCTTTCGGAGGGGAGAGATGGTAGATACACATAGGATACAGTTGGCTGACAATAATAGCAACCCGGACCAACCTTAAGAGCCCCTAGACAATGAAGCATCCTTAAGGGAGCTAAGGACATTGGTAATCCAGATCAGTTAGCAAGTTCAGAGATATGAGCAACACCTAAATGAAATGAGACAGGATGAGGAGCCTATTCAGGAAAATGGGCATATTAATGCTAATAAATCAAGTGGCCATCGTTTTGAAGAAGGTCACTACACTGTTATAGAGACTGGTGATAGCAATCAGCATGAAGAGAAGAAGGTGCTTCTTATTAGTGATGTATGGAGGAATTTCAATATGTGTGATCCACCAACATTTAATGGCAACTTTAATCCTTCAAGAGTAAGGCTTAGATTGATCACTTGGAAGCTATCTTCACCTGGTTCTTATGTACCTCACATTAAAAGGTGCAAGTAGCTGTTGTATTACTTGTTAGTGCCACTAAGAGGTGGTGGGAGAGTGTTAGACCATCTGATGGCACTTTCTTACATGGGAGGTGTTTAAGGAAATGTTCTTCCAGCACTATTTTCCTTTGGCCCTCCAATCACTCAAGGAGATAGAGTTATATGCTTTTCAGCAAGATGACATGGATGTGGATGCTTTCATTGCTAAATTTCTAGAGTTGATCAAGTATACAACTTATAGACAGTCTGAAAAGAATAGCAGATGGATGGTAGATAGGTTGTTGCAAAAGGCTAGACCGAAGTTTAGACGACAGCTAGTGCCACTCCAGATCACTTCTTTTGATGACATGTGTACTCGACTTTATCTCCTTGATGCTGAGATTAAGGGCTCTGGTTATGGAATTAAGCCAAAGAGGGATTCCCAGAGCCATTTCTCTTCCTTTATGAGGCCTAGTGGTGGAATTGGCAAGAGGAGTGGGTTCAATCCAGGAAGCTCTAGCAAGAAGAGCCGCTTCTAGAAGAGACAGTCACAGAGGCCCCCATTTCCAAAGGGTAATACTAGTAGGAGCCAAGCATCATTTAGAGGTTCTACTACTTCTGTACCCAGTACCGCGTGTTTGTGTTGACTCAAGAGGAGGCCAATGCGTCTCCCAACCTGATTAGAGGTATAATTTCTCTCCAAGGTCAAAATATACATGCATTATTTGACTCTGGTGCTACACATTCTCTTATAGTTTTTGAATGAGCTAAGCGATTAAACTTGCATGTTTATGAATTGCCTTTTGATATGAATGTTTCGACATCTGTTCGATCTTCTGTAAAAACTTCAAATGCATGCTTGGATCTTGTGTTGGAGTTTGAGGGTTGCAAGACAAAAATTGATTTGATTTATTTGCCCTTTAAGGGTCTTGATGTGATTGTGGACATGGATTGGCTAACAGCTAATGGTGCCATGCTTGATTGTGAAGCAAAAACTGTTTCTTTACCTATGTATTGCATGCCTATTGAAGTGCCTAGTGGCTCTCTTTTGTTGTCAGCTGTTCAAGTTGAAAGTTGTATAAAGCAAGGATGTCAGGCCTTTATAATCTTCTTTTCTGTTCAAGTTGAGATAGAAGAATGAATTGATAAAATTGAGATTGTGAATGAGTTTCCTAAGGTATTTCCTAAGGTAGTATCAGGATTACCCCCTGAGCGAGAAGTGGAGTTTTCTATTGGTTTAGCTCCTAGGACAGAGCCTATCTCTAAGGCTCCCTATCGAATGACTTCTGCTGAATTGGCAGAACTAAAGAAGCAGTTTGAAGAATTACTTTAGAAAGGATTCATCAAATCAAGTATGTCGCCATATGGATCATCAGTGCTATTTGTGAAGAAAAAAGATGGGACCTTACGGTTATGTATTGATTACTGGAAATTAAACAAAGTCACCATCAAGAACAAATACCCACTACCAAGAATCAATGATTTGTTAAATTAGCTTATGGGGTCAGTATTGTTCTTTAAGATTGTTTAAGGTCAAGATACCATCAACTAAGAGTTAAAGCAGAAGATGTCCCTAAGATTGCTTTTCATACTCGGTAAAGTCACTATGAATTTTTTGTAATGCCATTTGGTTTAACCAATGCTCTAGCTGTATTCATGGATTATATGAATAAGATCTTCAGACCCAAGGGACATGATACCTTTCTGTATTCCAAGGAAAGGGAAACCATGGTCTGATATGAGCTCTGTAACTTTTGGCCGAGTTACATCTCATTATTGGAGAGCTTGGTGTAGTCTTGTTAAAGAGACGAATCCTGTTATGTGTGAATAGCCTAAGGGTTCTGTCAGAGGTTACGAGGAGGTTATAAGAATAGTTGACGAAGTTCTGTGCATGCAAGTTACCTTTTGAATTATTATATACTATTTTTTGTAAAGATGTTTACACTATGTGTTATTCAAAATTGTACTTTGCCCACATAACTATCTTGTAATCACTCCATGTATACTTGTTGAATTAGAATTGTGGTTTCTGGGTCAATTTAACTCACCTTGTGGTTATTTAACATTTTTTTTAGGCGAGGGTTTAAGTGTTGGTTCCAAGGGGAAGTTGTACGAGACTTGAGTTTCACTTTTCTGCTCTGTATAGCCTCTATTTTGTTATACATGCGTTGATTGATGTATATTGCCAAACTTTAGAGCCGTTTTGTTATACTTAACACACTTTAAATTTCCTGCCACATTCTAGACTTATACTGTTGGGCGGAGCCCTTTTGGATATATGTGACTTTTATTTTGATTGCGATTGTTATAGGCGGTAGTGGTGGTTATTTTGATGGACTTCAAATGCCCTAACCCATTCATGACTGGTTTTAATTGTATTTTTGGGATCATAGAGTTTCATGATGAATTTGATATATATATATATACACGTAAAAAAAAATCAAGTATTGATTATCTCTTGTTATATTAACTATCTTTGCTATTATGGGATAATGACTATTACTTCATTATAGATATGAAATATTAATAATCATGGTACACTTCTACTGGATTACTTTTGTCCTTCCTACCCTAGTTGACTTTTCAAGTGATTAGCAAGGTCTTTTATATAACTATGGTAGTTTTCAATAATACGATTTATTCTCTCTACCATAATTATTACTTAAATGTTTTTGGTTAACTCTTTTATGTTTTATTAATCTTTAAAGAATTAACTATTATTTTGGAAATAACCAAATGTACATGTGTTATGGGGGCTATTACACCAATGACAAGTGAGCAATTGAAACTTATTGTCATTTTGTACTCTAAAACTTGTCATTATAAGTTGCTCAATTGTTGTGAGACTTTTTTGTGAATATGTTTGTTCCTTGAGACCTTATTACAATTCTCCCTTCTTTTTCAAATACGTGAACCTCTTATAAGATTTTTCAATCAATTATATCTTGGCCCTCTTTTAAATTAGCTTCTTATGCTTCAAGGATGTCTGACTTTTATTTATACTAATTGGAGTAGATTTAACTAGAATATGAGATTTAGTAATTCTCATTTGGGTTAGTAATTATATCTAGCATATATTTTGTAATATTTTATGAATAAAATGTTTGATAAATTTTTGGTTCATAATGCTATATATGAGAATCTACATTTGATAGTAATAATTGTTATATATGACTAGTTTTGATGATGTCAAATGTTTGAACAAAGGTTTGCATCAAATGTTTATCTTATACCTTGACTAACTACTATATTTAACACGAATATTTTGTGTAGCTAAATCAAAAAAGAAATAAGTTATTGAGTTGGATTATGAAAAACAATCAAGAAGAAGAGGGATTGGAGAAACAAGAACTTGACATCAAGAAGCTTCGCTAATTTCCTTTTCAAGCTATATGGAACTAAAAGGTTGCAACCTAAGAAGGACTTTTGATAATTGATATGTTAGCCTAAAATTGAAGAATAATGTTTGAGCAAAGTCTTCATAATATGTCAATCTTTTTGGTAACTAGACAAAACAAAAGAGTATCATCCGCATACATTAAGCGAGTGATAGCATTATTTTCCTGTGAAAGTTGGATCCCCTTCCACCAATGAAAACTCTCTACCTAGTTGATCACACACGACAGGACCTTCATAGAGTAGGAAAAGATAAGATGAAAGAGGATGTCCTTATCTTAATGCTTGAGACAAATGGAAAGGAGAATTTGGAGTCCCATTGACAATAACTTGGTAGGTGATTTGACACATGTATGGTTAAACTGATCTACTAGGCTAGGAAGTTTGTCATTTCCATAACCCATTCAAGAAACTTCCAAGAGACATTATCATAAGCTTTAGCAATGTCTAACTTGAAAGTGCACTAGCTGACCTTACTTTTCCAAGTTTTGTTAATCTTTGCCATACATGCATATACAAGAATTATATTTATTGAGAACAAGCAAACTTTGAGGAAAGCATTTTGGTTTGGTGTGATAAGATCCCTCGGGATAGATTTTAATTTGTTACATAATATTTTAGACAAAAACTTGTAAATGACACAAAGACTAATAAAATGAAAATCTTTAAATGTGCTGGGGTGAGAACATTTAGGCACCAGAGTTATGAAGGTTTAGTTAAGATCTTTAAGGATGTAATCCTGGTTAAAGATTTGGAAAATCATTGCAATTATATCAGTTCTCAAAAGAGACCAAAGTTTTTGGAAAAATCTTGTATGAAATCCATCACAAGATAAGTAAGGAAGATTGATGTTGTTCAAAGTTTAATCCAATCTTTGAAAAGCCAAATTTAGTAGGGTGTTCATATATTTGGGTGAAAATTTGCAATCGATTCTCGGGTTACTGTTTACTAGTTAAATTTTAGATTTTCGGTGAAATTTTGAAAAATCATAATTAATTATAGAAAAACAATATTGAGGTGGTTCAAAATTATATTTAAAGATCTTTTAATTCTCTACAGGGAAAAAATATAAAACTGGACTCAACCCTTGCCAATTCATACAGTTTATTCGTTGAAGTTTACTGTTCATTTGGTCAAAACTGTACTTCCTAGTTTCTCTGTCCTAATTTTGATGAAGCATAACTCTTAGCACACATATCCATTTTAAGTAATCTACCACTTGTTTTAAAGTTTAAGATGTGTATTTAATCATACCAAATTTTATGAGCAGATTCGATCATTTACTTTATTTCCACTTTGCCACCATTTCGTGGCTCCTTTAGGGATACTTTATCCCCCTAACTTGCATTAACAATTCATGATTAATTCTTTCCATGCATAATCTTGTTCCGTTAATCCATAAACTATTTTCATACATTATCATAGTCAGTTATACATACCATCATCATTATTTAATATCACATAACATTAATGGCATGTTTACATCATACATTAACATACAAATTATATAATGTAATAAAATATATTTCTTAAATTCTTTTCCTCTCTTCCTTGCTTTACTTCTTCATTTCTTCTTCCATGCTCTTTGCATCTATTATGGTTGGTTAAGAAAGGATGAGAATCAGGAGAATCTCAATAGCAAACAATAACCACCCAAACATACATGGCCAGCTTGGCATTTATAACATGCTTGTAACTTAACATCTTTATAACATAATAACATGTTTAGGAATCATCATTCATTTATTATAAAACATATAGGCCTATGGCATATTTCAAACATGTTCACAATCACAATGGATGAGTTCATAAAATCACATAAACATAGAAACATGTAGTACATGCAAGCAAATACCAAGTACATAAGAGTAGGGTAAAGTTTGCTACCTTGTATCTTTAAACTTTCTCTTTACTTCCTCTTGCTCCTTTTTGTTACCAAACTTGAGGTTACTTGTCCAACCTCTCATGGCCCTAAATGTATTAACACATCATTGCCATTTATTTACTAGAGTTATGGTAACCAACAACATCAATATTTTGTTTTCTTTGAACTATATTAACTACTAACTTTTGAGTTTGATTTTCAACCTTTCTAAAATTAATTTCACATGCATTCCCACACAATTTTGTATGTAGAATTCATTTCTAAGCTCAAAATAATCAAAAGTTAACTCCTTCCCCATGAACCAGCTTTGACCGAATAGTATGCATTTAGGGTCTAAAAATTGCATTTTCAATTCTAATACTTCCATACTTATTTCCTCATCTTTACCCCATACAATTTTTCATTCTAAACTTATTGGAAGCATCAAAATTATTAAAATCCAACCCTAAGACATTAAACTCAGTTTGGCCAAAATGTTTCCTTAGTTGATACAATCATAAAATGTTTCCTTAGTTGATACAATTATGAAATTCAACCAATTTCAACATAAAACCACTTGATTCTTGTTTCTTTCAAGCCTTTAAACATTAATCTAACATCAACTTCATTTTTTCCTTAACTTAGGAACTTCGTGTAGTATAACCCTTAAGGTTTCAAGCTCCCAAAAACCATCAAAACTCATAACCAAGCTGAACAATAATAAAGGTAGTGAAAACTATATCAAAAACCATAAACATACCTTATTTTAGAGCTTGATCTTGCATGGGACCACTTGATTTTTCTCTTCTCCTTCCTCTTTCTCTCTCTAGAATTTATTTTGCAAGAGTTTTTCCATGGTTTTCATGAGCTTAGGATGAAAATGAGGGGAGGGGAGGGGTATTTATAAAGTTTATGAACAAATCCTAGCAATTGATCTTGAAATTGTAAGATTAAATCTTGACCATTCATTTTTGCCTTTTGTCTTGTGATGACATGTGTCTTCATGACATCATGCTTACTTCATTCTTACATTATCAAGCCATATGTCTTTAATCTAACCGTACATGTGTCTT